GCCTGCAAGTGTGCATGTGTACACTGTGTATGCTGTGCATGCCTGCAGGTGTGTACGTGTACTGTGTGTGTTGCTGTGCAGTGTCTGCAAGTGTGCATGTGTACTGTGTGTGTGCTGTGCAGTGCCCACAACAATCAGAAGAGGGCATTGGTTTCCCTGTAACCAGAGTTATGGAAGCTTGTGTTGCCTCATGTTGGTGGAAGCTAAAGGATCTTATCCTCTTTAAGAGCAGCAAATGCTCTCTGCCACTGAGCAAGCTTCCTCCCCTGCTCCACCACCTGTGCTTTTAATGACCCCAAATAGTGCTTCCAGTTTGGGCAAGATTCATCTCGTGAGGTAGATTTCAAACTTGTTCTTCTTGACCCCATTATAAATTATTGACACCAAAAACCCCATATGTTTATCTGGGCTATATTTCTCTTTTCCGTTCGTTGTTTTGAGACGGGTCTCACTGCATAGCTCTGGCTGTCCTAGAACTCACTATGTGGAACAGGCTGGCCTTGAATTCAGATATGCTTGCCTCTGCCTCCCACGTGCTGTGATTACAAGTGCTGGAATGCACCATCACACTGACAGGCCTGTGTTTCTCAATATTTGCCATAATAGATATTGAAAGTGTAGTTTTTCAAATATTTAGTTACAGGGCTGTGAAGAGAAATTCAAGGGTAAGTTCTTGTTTGCATATGCAGAGCCCTGTATTCCATCACCAGCACCACTAGAGGATGATGGGAGAGATTTAGTGATAAGATGAAGTCCTTTAAAATCAAGTAAATGTAAACTGGAGAGTTGGCTCACAGCACTTGTTCCTGCAAATGACCTGGGTTGATTCCCTCTACCTGAATGGAAGCTCACCACTTCCTACATTACCAGGCACACATGTGATACACAGATATACATGCAGGCAAAACACACACACCAAATAAAACAGAATGTAAAAGAAAAGAGAAAGAGAATAATAGACTACAACAGGCATTAAATCCATTACATTTTTAAACAGATTTATTTGTTCTTTTAATGTGTATTTGTGCCTGAATGTATGTATGCGCAATGCCTGCCATGGCCAGAAGAGAGCACCATATCCCCTGAAACTGGAGTTCAGGCAGCTGTGTGCCTCCTTCCTTTCTTTCAGTTTTATTTTGTGTGTGTGTGTGTGTGTGTGTGTGTGTGTGTGTGTGTGTGTGTGCGCGTGTGCGTGTGTGTGTGTGCATGTGTGAGTGTGCGCGCATGAGTATGCATGCATGAGTGTGCACGTGTGAGTATGGAGGTCAGAGAACAACTCTGGGGAGTCAGTTCTTTTCTTAGACTGAGTTCTGGGGTGGAGCTTACATCATCAAACTCACGTGCAAGAGCTTTTGTGCTTTTGTCCTTGGAGCTGTCCGTGTTCTTAGTTCCTTAAAAACAGGGTTCCCGTGGCTCACTGGCTTCAAACTCAGTCTGCAACTGAGAATGACCTTGAACTGCTGACCCTTCTCCCATTTCTCAAGTGCTGATGTTACAGGCATGCACTACCATGCCTGGCTCAAAAATAACTGTTTTCAAACAAAAATTCAGTGAGAAGTGTGGTATTGTATTTTCATGAGCCTGTACAAGGTCTGCATTAATAAATGCCAGCTGGATTCCAGTGTCTGCTTCTGTGGCCAATCTGTTAAAATACATTCTTTTTGAAACATTTGAAGAAAATCTGACTTTAAGCAGATACATAGTTGGGAGACAACAAAATCTTCACTAAGTTTTTCAGATAATTATGGGCATAATTTTCTTTTTTTTATCTTTAACCCCCAACTTGACAAAGAGCAGTTTCTTAAAGGTTGCAGGGTGAAATTAGACACTGCACCAATGAACTTTTTGTTCTCCTTGGCATTGACATGAGTCTCTAGTTTGTGCTTTGAATCTTTTACTCACTCATCGTTTGAAAACACCATTAGTCATTTGGAAGATATGAAATCACTAGGATATCAAAAGCCACATTCATCAGAGATCTGGAAATATTAGGAACCCAGCAGTCTCACACTGATTGGTAAGGTTTTTCCCGCATTTTAATTTTTCCCTAAAAGCTCAGATTTTATCACCGCCCACATGTGTAGCCTATGGTCTTCCTGCAAGCCCCATATTCACCTTGTTCTCTGCAAACCTGAGTCTGAATGCAGCCTGCTGGTCAACCGTTATCAAATAGGAAAGTAGTCGTTGGTCAGGAAGTTCATCTCTGAGCCGTTGCAAGAGGGCGTTCCTCAAGGTGTCAGCCGTCCTTAGCATTCCCAGTTTAAGCATCTTTCACATGCGGAGTGGTGTGTGATAAATGTATTCCTTGTCCTCTAGGGGATGATCCAAGACCAGCCTAATGTCAGATGGTACTGATTGCTGTGTCTGCTGTATGTGTCGCACATACACACCCATGGAGAAGCTTAGCTGGGGATGTAGCTCAGTTGGCAGAGTGGTAACCTCGTATGCATGAAGCCTTGCTTCCATCCCGAGGATGATGTTATACATCTGCAGTCCCAGTACTTGGGAGGTAGAGGCAAGAGGATCAGAGATTCGAGGTCATCCTCAGCTACATTGTGAGCTCACAGGGCAGCCTGAGACTTAATGGGTTAAGCCCTTGGCTATACTGATGAAAAGGAAGTGACACGTATTCCAGGTGGGACAGAGCCGGGCAGCCCAAGGTGCCAGTGTGCTGTGCAGACAGCATGCAGTTTGACACTTGGGCATCACTTCTTTCTGGGGTTTCCACTTGGCTTTTCCAGAACTTGGGTAACTGTCAGTACAGGAAGCTGAGGGCACGGGGGTTGTATGGAAGAGAGCTATCTCCAACGGTTACTGTTTAATAAAATGCTGAACTTTCCTGTCTTACCAAGTGTTTTTAAGTACGATGCCTCTTTCTGGTTCTTAAAGACCGTTGTGTTTTCTTTGTCTATGTCTTTGTCACTGTAGTGGAGTGGCAGTGACTGAATTAGCGCCATTAGCCCACACTCACAGAAAACCACTGGTTTGTGCTGTGGCAGATTGCCCTTCAGTACAAACGTCAGTGATGGAGACCAGCTAAATGTCTAAATATTATTTGACAGTGCATTGTCCCTAGACCCTGGAAGGGTCTGGAAGCTACAGCGATCTGTGGTCTTATATTTTCAGAACTGGACATGCGTTAAGTCTGTGTGTCCATTCTTTAGTTCTGGTGTTTTCTAAGTCACTATTCTACCCCACGTAAGCGAGGGGCAGGCTTCATTGCCTCTCCAGCACTGAACTGATTCCTTTAAACTTACTCCATACCCCCCCATTTTCTCTTGCTTCTTTTTTTAGCAGGGAAATTTTAATAGTTCCATTGGCTCAGATGGGTATATGCTCTCTTCCCTGACCTGTGGAATGGCCCCAGTGACTTCCATCACTGAAGGACTCCAGCAGGTAAGCCCTTCCTTAGCCAGCAACTAGACAGACACACAGCCAGGTAGACTGACAGAACAGATGGACTGACAATACAAGGATTACCTCATCCAGCTTCCATGAGCAGAGTGCAATAGTTTTAATGTAAAGTTTCTTTTCTTTCTCTGCCAACTGTCAGTAGACAGGAAGTAAGGTAGGGGTATATATTGGTAAAAGTGAGGCACTGGGCCCCACAGGTGCTGAAGGACTGCCTCTGTTGGGTGGTCCCTGTGTTTTCAGTAAAGAGCCCTTGCTCTACTGTGTTTGAAGAGGAGTGCGTGGTCTAGGATTGTGTAGGGCAGCACTGTCCACAATGAGATGCTAGCTCAGAATCCCTCCTCTAGTGATCTAGGCCCTGATGGCTGAAGGAGATTCAAGGAGAGCATTAGACACACTTTGCCCTTACAGAATTTATAGTTTCATCCAGGATACATGAGAATTCCAACTGTTAGAATTTAATTTTTAAATTTTAAATGTGCATAAGTGGTTCACTTACATGTGTGTCTGTGCACCACGTGTATGCAGTGCCCATGGAGGCCCGAAGATGGCATTGGATTCCCTGAAACAAGTGGAGTGTAAGCTGCCATCTAGGTGCTGGGACTCGAGCACAGGCCCCCAGAGAGAGCAGCAGTGCTGTCTCTCCAGGGCTGAAAGTTCACTGCTGTTGATAAGGCTCCGTATTCCCCAGGTGGCAAGGTATAAGAGGGCCGTAACCTTTACAGAGTTTGCCATGTAGCGGGTGAGACCGCTGGGTGAGGTAATGGTGACGGCAGACGTGTGGTTAGAGCTCTAACGGGAGGGATGTGTAGGGACACAGAACCAAGCATCTTTGACGACAGAGCATTGGCTCTGTAGGGGTTTGTGTAAGGTGCATTCATGTAGCTCCCTGGCTTTTCTCGGGCATTTCCTTCCCTTCTGTCTGTCACACTCTGAACTGCACCCACTGTCATAGGATTGCCTGACAGTTAACATTGTTAGGTGGAAGATCTGCAGGGACAGGGCCTACGTCGCTCTTGTTTGTCATTGTACCCCAGCAGCTAGGACTACACAAACAGGGTTCAAGGATGCCCCAGCTTGGTGAGAGTGCAAAGTCTGCATTACTGCATCTGTCTGCGGGCAGTCTAGTCTCATGCTGCAGGTACTGCATCTGTCTGCAGGTAGTCTAGTCTCACGCTGCATGATTGCATCTATCTGCAGGTAGTCTAGTCTCACGCTGCACGACTGCATCTGTCTGCAG